CAGCGTTCTTATTAAATCGATCGCTCTGTGTGAATCTAAATCAATTTTATTGGAGCCCGATATAACGCCCGCACTCTGTTTAAGTTATAACAGGATAACCATGCAATGTTGACCTGTGACTCTCGTACTTTGGACGATTTATAGTATGCGCTACGGAGCATCTGCGGTCGCTTTAAATTGGGCGGCGATTATAACTCCGGTTTGTACGTTAATTTTTAAAACCGACCTTCGCCGATGAAAAATTGATTTCGGCTGATACGATTTTGATTATACGGTTGCCAGTCGTTACATACAATTATTTGATTGTGAGGCTGTTTGGGATGCTTGCATGTGGCGAACGATATCTCAGCGAGATTGAAAAAAAAAAAGAACTTGCTATTGCTCTACAATTATGTAGAAACTGGGCTTTTTCGTATGACAAAGAAAGCGTTCTTAATTTTAATTTGACTTTTTTATCAATAGTCTGGTTACATTTTCACCATGAAACACAGCAGTATCTAAAATAAATTAATTATCTAATTTAAAAAGCAACACATGTATTATAACATAATATTTTAATAGTTTTTAACTTTAAACATTGATTTAATGTGAAATTCGGTATCATTTTGCTCAAGTTTGAATTTCACTAATAAAATTTTATAACAAAGCCTTGCGGAAAAATGACCCGACATTAAACCAAATTATAGAATATTATTTTCGTGTAATTATTAAAGGAGCGCTTAAAATTCGAGCAAAGTATGTGATTTATCGCCGATTTCGAGTAAAAGTGTTATATTTTTTAATTTCCTGTAACGCTCCGAATGAGGCAGGTTATCGCACCACTTCGACGAAACGGCGTTAACTGGTCACGAACCGTGCCTTGTTTTCTACTACCGTACAGAAAATAAGTTGCAACATTTTCAGAGTGATTCCTATACTTTAGAGAATATTACACATTATTTAATAAAGCTATTAATAAATGCACGTGGCCATGAACGCCGAAAAGTATTTAAAATAATAAAGCTATAATATCAGTAAATTGGAGCTTATAAATCGTTTTGCGGTGAATTTGTAAGTTTGATTTGATATTATTTTCAGATTGACAGCATAATTATTAGCAATGCAGTTCCATAATCAAAGCTGTATTTTTTTTCTTATTTGAATAAAATTATTAATTTCTTAAGCAATATTATACCTACTTACTAAATCAAAATATTGATTGTAACAAAAGTTGTAAAATCATGGGTAATAGACGACAAAAAATTATACCTATAGTTTTTAGAACATTATTTGAATATCCAATTACGTATCGAATAATTAAATATTCGAAGAAAATGAACCTATTTTCTTCATTTAGTATAAGGAGCTTTAGGAATTAATTTAGCTTAGGAAGTAATTTTTTTTATAAAATTTTCCCTTTCTAGTGTTTTTTATATATAGAGTTTTAATAAGAGTTTAGTAAGAGTTAGAGTTAGGAGAGCAGGTAACATCTGCCCTCATTCCGGAAGAAACTTTTTGAGCTTGAATGAAGTAATTTTTCTAACTATATTATACTATATTATGTTAATAGAATTATCATATTTAAAAATTTTATAAAATAGTTTTTATCCTTTCTTTACACTTACCATGACACCGGTTGGAATCCAGTAAATTATTTTAAAAACGCTTTCAAGTTGATTGCTTCATGTGGAATTTTAACCACATATAACATGTATATACCAGAGTTTACGGTTTACATATTATACGGCCGCTTCTTCAGGGCTTGTAAAACCCTGAAGAAGCGGTGAATGCTCTCGAAAATGCCGTAAAGAGGAATGTTTTTGAAACTGCTTTTCTCAGTGGTTCCATCGAATGCGAAGATGTATAGAGAGGAACGGAGACTACTTCGAACAGTAATAAAAGTATTGGCAATTTTCTTTATTGAGTCGTTTTCTAATTTTCTAAGAATTTTCAATGTGGTCCACGTATAATAGTCGATTTTCCCGTGTAAGATATCTAAAAACGGCAAACTAATCGATGCATACAAATGAGATAAGAATTAACAATCTAAATCGAATCAACGCAGATCGCAGCGACGAACCTATGATCTCATCACAGGTAACACAATAAAGTATTTTTTTTTATTTCAGACAAACTTAACTGTAGGATACGATAATCCTGTGTTACGGAGGCCATAAAAAAGATAGACCATACAAAAACCTGTGCTTGGGTCACCGCTCACCGTAAGTCTATCGCTTAGCAACTGTTTAAGCCATCAAAATGTCCGTATTTCCATAGCATAATTGAATGCGTGCTGTTTTAAAATGTACTCGTACTTACGTGTTAGAAATGATTAAATCTGCTAAGTTATTAGCGTGCAAAACTATAACGGCTAACTCGCGCCCGTCGTCGAGCAGTTAAGCGAATAGTGTTAAGTCATGGAAGGCAGTTACGAATGGCGATTTTTTTAACAATTAGCCAGCGTGGACTGCAGTTCATTAAACTAAGGTCGGTTTGCGTAACACTTGAGGCGGGGCCCTCGTGCGAAACGCGGGTAGGGCATCGCACCGGCGTCGCTGCACGCGACCCGCTCAAATTGTTTTCGTAGCTCATTTCGTTACGTCGAAACTTCGACTTTTGAAAAAGGAATGGCTTTTTTTTTAATTGCGGGCGTTCGAATTACGAACGATCGTGTTTTTTTTTCATCGTTGCAGATTGTCGCTGTCTCGGTCAACAGACATTAGATGGCGTGGATTCGGATTTTGAAGTCAATTCATTTTTTCCTTATAGCTGTCTAAAACTTTGAAAAAGGAATACCGTGTTTTAATTTCTGTTGTTCGGAATACGAACGAATCCGTTCTTTTTTATTGTTGCAGATTGTCGCATGTCAATAGTTATTAGATGGCGTGAGCTTAGATTTTCGAGGTGAATGGATTTTTCGAGTCTCCGTGTGGCTTTTGGTTAAACAGCAGTATTCACATCACATCACTTAAATGAAACATTTTTCATGTATTTGATGTTGGACGGAGTACTCTTAGGAGAAGTTAGTGCTGATATGATTTTTCTACTGTGGTACGAATGGGCAGGTTCGTCCAGGTAAGTACCACAACCCCCAGAAGACCGCCGTGGAAGTTGGAAGTGTTTAAACCTGCGTTTCGTTTGGTTAGTGAGGTAGCCGGGGCTCACTTTATTAAAAGGTGTCAACGCATCTGCAAACCTGCGGGTGAAGCAAAGGTCCATGGGCAGCGGTTATCACATACAATCAGGTGAACCGTTCTCTGGCGCATAAAATTGTTGTATTAAAGTTTGGTCTTGATGCGTAGGATATCTACCTTACCCTTTGTACTGTTGTAGCCTATATACGTCCCACTGGACAAAGGCCTCCTTTGTACCGATGGTGTTAGGGTATAGTCCACCACCCGACCCCACTGCAGCTTGGAGGACTTTACATATCTTCGCAATAGTTTTTTTGTAATTATTTCGAAAATATGCATGTTTCCGTCCTCACGAGGTTTTCCTTCACCGCCCAGGGCGCGTTAAGCCAGCACTTAAAATGAACAATTTCACCGGTGCCGGCACCGGTATTTGAACTCCGGTTGCTCGAGTATTTTGAAATAAAAGCGAGCGTTCTGAAACTGGGCTATCACGGTTCCACGTAGACTAATGATAATTTTTTTCAAATGACATTACTTAACAAGTTTTGAGTATGAAATGTGGAAGTAAATGAGCGTAACACTGCCTTTGTAGCGTCGGTTTTCATTTCTCCTAATGCTCGCAACGTTTAGAGCGGTATCTACATCAGATAAGGGTAGGTTCACATGGCGATGGAAACCGAAATGACTCCGTCCTACAATTATAAACGAATTAGCCCAAAAATTGTGCCTTCAATGGGCACAAATTGATATAATAAAAAGCAGTAGGCGCTATCGAGGCAGGGCTGCCACTACTATATCTTATAGTTTTGAGTGTTAATTTATTCTTTGGCTAAGTTCTTTTAGTGAAAAAGTAATATGCACAAGTGTCTGGGAATAAACATTTTTGTAAACTATTTAAAAATTAAAAAGCCTGTCAAAAAGCAGGATTCTATTTATATTAAATAAAATCCTGCATAAAAAATAAATATGAAGATTCTGATATTTCCTTACCCATAACTTCATGTAGTCATTTTTACAATAAGCTTTAATAAGTTATTGGTTACGTCATCGGGGCAAGTGGATTCGATACCCACCAGGTACAAGTATTTGTGTGACCCACAGATAATTTTAGGATCTGGGTTTTGGTTCATGTCAGATTTATGTACGTCAAACGTCCAAAACACAGTATAATTACCTATATCTTACAGTTAGGCTAATATTCCACAAAAATTGTGATGGCGTCGCAAGGGTATTAAAGACGTTAGATTTAAATTCCATGACACTTATAATCGTAAAACTGATAACTAGACTGTACTTCGTAGTGTATACACATTGTTATTCGTGTTTTTACAGGCACACTATCCAAAAATTCCTTGTTAAATACCATCACTACTCGCCATTAGGATTGTGGTCAAGCACTGGCCATTTACTTATAAAAAAAAGACATGCGTGTGTATTTATTTAACACGAGACATTATTTAATCAAGCACAAAAGAGACCGGCGTGAAATGGAAGTATCTAAAATATAATATTCCTGTGTTTCGTCTGCCGTGTAAGGTGACCGGAGCCCACTTTATTGCAGTAAAGGGTGGCAACGCATCTGCAATCGTACGGGAGTATAAATGTCCAACAGCGGCGGTTATTGCTTAACATAAGGTGAAGCATCAGCTCGCTTGCCGCGTTCTCACATAAAAAAACATTAAAGTCAGACTGAGCCATTAACTTCATGGTGCTAATTTGTTAGGTCATGCGCATCGTAAAAAATCACTCTCATCACCGTTCTCATACGCTAGAAGTTGCTTCAAAAACTGTCATACCGTGACGCAAGAAGTTGCTTCAAAAATTCAACAGAGCCCCGTCGCCGACCCTAAGCGAGTTGGAGGTGTCGCCCAATAATTAAGTGATTACGTTAGGACGCGTGTCGGTGCGATTTATATCAATGCGGGGCCGATCGTTAGCCCGGCGCGGAATTGCCCCTACGCACGGGCCGCGGAATGTTCTGGTGTTTTCTTCTTTCTTCTGGAGTTTCCTTCTTTTCTCGTCTGATGCCTGTATAAGGTCGGCGTTTGTGAGTTGTTCACAATTAGAGGTCCATCCAATAAATTTCATTAATGGGCTTTGTATGGCCATGTATTCGAGTACATTTGAGTATCTATCAAGTTGGGAGACATGAAATGATGTTATGTACCCATTTTAATTACCGATGTCAATGCAGTAATTCCATATTTGCAGCCAATTAAACACCAAGATCATTAAATGTTATAGTAATAAGTATGGTAAATTTGTAATAGTTTTATTTGGGTTGTATTGTAATGCTTTTTTAAATTTATCTGATTTGATGCTATCAGTTGTTGACCTTAGTTTTTTTTTATCCATCTTAATTATAACGTATAATAATATTTCTATTGAATAATATAAAATTACCTTTTTAATAACACTACTGATGTAAAATTATTCATCAGTCCGTCACTCTTATACTCACAGCAGGGAAAGTTGCAAGAGAAGCTCTTCTGGACTTTACAATTTAAATTTTGAGATCTCGGATAACTTTTCTACCACCTGTCTGCGTAGATATGCTTGACTCTCGTTATATGGGACAAGCCATAAAAAGCGCCTATCTGCCTTTTGCAGATGCGGTGTAGAAAATGATATGGACCTGTCACTTTTTCCTCAAAAATGCCTCAGTAACAGATAGTCCTCTACATTTACAGTTCCATAAATATGGCGCGCCCGTTTCGAATCCATACTTTAACCAAAGCACTTGGTAGAAAGATGAATGCCCACGATAACCCGGCTAAATTAAAACGCGGCCGCGCCGAATTGAATAATTCGGTAACAAATGACTTCATTTGCATGTACTGTAATTAGTTTGTAATTGATGCCTTGCGCCGGCCGTGCCTTGGCTGGCTGATGAGTTATTATGGCCCTATTTATTTTTGGATTCGTGGATTCGAGTATCGGGGGGATTCACTGTTTTGTTGACTTAAGATTGGCTTTAGCGTAAAAGTTACAGATTTAATACCCATCTGAGATATAACGTTTCTATATTCCAATTAACACTTTATTGTTACAAATATGTGACTCAGTTGGATTCTAGTTGTGATTCATACGTTTCTTCAATTCTTATTCAACGATGAGTTATTTTCTTGAATAAATATTCAAGGAAACAGTACTCAGTGAGAAACTGCAAATAGTCCTTGGCAATGTTGCAAAGAGTTGGTTTAGGCAATTATTTCACAGCCCATACATACAACCACATGCCCAAATGTATAGCAGCAGACATTTTTTGATATATAATAGTGTTTTTTTTTATAACTGAGAATATATAGGAATGTAGAATATATAGAAATTGAAGAGTTTTAGAGTTATCTCTAAAGTTTTGTATTAGGAATGACGACGTATAAGCAATGGCCCTTCCAAAGACGAAACATTTGTCGATAATTTAATTTTGCCTAAAACTATGTCATCTTCTAGGTAAATAACTATCCCTATTAGTTATTTTCCGACGTTTATATAATAACAATAATATATATCTTTAAAATAATATATACATAGACGTTTGCGCGTTATTATGAAACGTCGAAATTTTACAAGGAAATTAATATGTTCGTAAGTTACCACCGTACAATATATGACGTACACCAAACAAATGTGAAGACGTTTTTGCATTTTCTTTTCTCTTTTAAAAGCATTGCCCTTACTTTAGGATAACATTATCCTGTGTTGTAAGGACTTTTTTCAAACATAAATTTCACACGGACAAACACCCAGGTACAAAACAATTGTCTGTGGGTTACACAAATAGTTGTTCCGTGTGGGGAACTCACGACCTCCGACGCCGAAGCCAATACCTTGGCAACTCCCCCACAAGTCAGTTTAAAACCTGTAAAATAAAAACTCACTGATGCAGATCTTTGAGATTGGGAGCCGGAAGCGTCCACATTCCATTTGAAAGAGCTAGCAGATTAGGCCAATTCAATATTTAATATTCTGTAACAGTAATGTTATTAAAGGAAATAACAGACGAGAAATAATTATATTTGTTGGGTGAGAGGCGAGCGCGGATAATGTGGTACCTTCATTAGCGATTAGACACGAGCGCTGCAATTTACGGACAGCTTTGGTAGGAGACATTCAGTGCTGCCACACGAATGAATTAGCCTCGAAATGAGCTCTCACAATAATCGAAATCGTATGATCGCACTCGTCCAAACATGTCTGGATGAAGCGGACAGGTTCATTTCATAACAATCGTAGCTGTCACTATGTATGGCGATAAGTTTTGGAAAAAATTTAAGCTACAAGCGTATTGTCATATTGTACCTACTGCTAATACAGTATGTAACATATTTAAGCCATTGCTGATCAAGGTTCTTTTCTGGATGGAGAGTATTAAGGCACCAAGCAACTTCACTAAGGATCGTCGTGACATGGATTGCTATCGTTTCCGACCTAAAATTATAAATGATAACGAACGATTTTGATCTCACTACAATTGAATTTGATAATTTTTAAGGTTCCCTACACAAAAGGTAGAACGGAACCTTCTATTACTAAGACTTCGCTGTATGTCTGTCTGATCGTCCGTCTGTCACCAGGCTGTATCTCATGAACCGTGGTACGGAACCTTTTAGACGGTTCTTAACATACATATGTGTCTATTACACTGTGAGTATAAATGCTAAAAAATATAAACGTCGGGAAAATCAAAATTGAAAGTAAACGCAAGAAATACTTAAATTTTATTAAGTTAGTACCGATTAAATTTATTTAGATAGAAATATGTAAAAGTGAATAATAATATAGCAGACAGAAATAAAGAAGGAAGTTATCTAAATTCTAAACAAACTTCAGTTTGCAAGCGATAGCTTATTCATGAAACATCTGACGGAAATTTTGATAATATTAAAAACTAACACAGTATTAGGTTTCATCTTAAGCGCAGGGACTAGCGCTAAATTAAAAATTAAATTTTAATCGCAAAGGCGATATCTCTAGTTTTAAAACGTTCATTATTGAAGTACAGTTTGAGAAAGTGTGATCGCTGTAAAGTAATCACAAGCATTACAATAAATACATTAAAACAAAAGTAGATAAGATTCGCATGGTGCGGATGTCAACCTCTTAGCATAGTGGCAAGATGGTCTGGAAGCATAATTCGTAACGCGCAAGTTCAAATCCTGGCAGCGATGAAAAATTTTGCGACAGTTTTATCTAGAAATTTTTTTTTCGTTTTAAGAGCAGATACTAGCACTAAATTAATGTTTGAAAAAATTGACACCTTAAAACACCAAAATCTCCTTTTGTTTCCACTCCTTATCACACGAATGTGGGGTCAGCACAACATGGAACTATGGTTTAAATGGTATTGGCTAGGTCTTTTTTACCACCATCTGCATCACCGTCAACCATCCTTGGGAATAAACACCACATACGGAACAATTGTCTGTGGGTGACAAAATGCGTGTCGCATGTGGGAATCGATGACGCCGTGGAGCAGTTGCCAAGGTATTTGGCTTCGGCGCCAGGAGTTGGGGGTTCGATTTGAGTTCGATTCCCACGGGACAACTGTTTATGTGACCCATTGACCCATTGAATTTGGGCGTTTGTCTACGTGATGTTTATGTTCGCAACACGTCCATACAACACAGGATAATGTTAGCCTACTGGGTAATGATTTAAAAAAAAGAAAAGAAAAAAATCGAATCCACAAATTCCGGTGCCGAAGCTTAGTAACTGCGCCACCGAATCATTTCAACACACAGGACTCGATTGATGATTTGATTGTTCATAAGTTTTTAAAATTGCTTGTAAAGGCTAAACTCAAAAACAACTTAACAGTTTTAATTTTTTTTAATCAGTTATTAATCGATTTAAAAAAGAATTTAGATTAAATCTACGAAAAGAATATATATATATATATATCTATTTTGGCTGACTGTAAATTGGGTTATCACGGATCGAAGCTCCTGAAAATCAATTTATTTCGTTACTACAAAATAACACAACATCAAATGTGCTTACAGGGAAGCTCTAACCCATTTAACTTTAGACAACGTAAAGTTTAACTAATTAAAACTTTAATTAGCTAAAATAACCTTATTTGATAGATAAAATTAAAACTACGCACTTAAATGATTTTTCACCTATAGAAAACATTATTCCCGAGTAACATAATAGTGTAAAAAATATTAAATTGAAATGAAATTTGCGCGGACAACTAGTAACACCATAACATCATAAATATTAAAGTGTTCATACATTTATAGCCGTCATAACTAATAGTCCGGGCTCTTAATTCAAGATATTAAGAGCATTAATTCAATAGACTCAAGCAACCTGAGACCAATGCCTGGTGCCGACACCGATGAAATTGTTAATTTTATATGCTAACTTATCACGTTCTCAGCGGTGAAGGGAAACGTCGTGAGGAAACCTGCGTATTTTCGAAATAATAATAACAAATAATTAAAAAAAAAAATTTAAAATATATGCGAAGTCTATTTTAAATCTTATTCACTATTGCTATTTTAAGAATAACTTCTCCGTGAAGGCTTTCCGCTAAACAATTCCTTGTGCTGACCACAAGCGTCGTGGATTCGATCTTCGCACGTCGCAGCGATTTATATGACCTACTGGTTATTTGTATAAATAGCTATTTAAGATTATCTCATTATACAGTGTCATCACCATGAAAATAATCTATTCAATGTATGTACATCATGCGTATGGATTACATAGAGCCAATGAGTGTACATACAACAGCATCTAAGTCAGTACACACGCGATCGCAAAACCCACCGCGGCCCGTGCCGAATCGCCAACGATGCGGTGCACGTTAATAACATCGAAATCGCCCAAATTATCCGCCAGATGTTTACCAGCAGACCGAAATGCCGCCTTTGACATCGGATACCCGTGAAACGGCGGTGCAAGACGCGCGTGACCCGGCCGACGCCCCACCGGCGAATGCCTGAACGGATGGACGTCACGTCCGAGGCTATAAACGGGGAAGTTTCACGCGCGATTTCGTTTATGGCTCATTCTTTTTGGTGCCGGAATACGCCACTCTTGATTTATACATATTGTTGTGGCCGAACATAGGAAAGTGGTACCTTAAATGGGTTATAACTAACATGCTATATTGCAGCATTCATAAACTTCAGGGGTAAATGTTCACCCCTCTGACCGGGTTGCCGCCTGGACGTGGCGGAGGGGTTTAGTAGCCGTAGCTTGGTCACCCACGGCGAAGCTAAGAGCGTGGGTTACACTGGGCTGGCGTGTGGTGTAAAGCCGGCCCGAGAGGGCCGCTCCGAGTGGGCTCATTGAGTTCACTCTGGATGCGTGCTGGAGGGTGCAGGGGACAGGCCGAGGGTGGTAGAGGAGGAGCCACTCTCCCTATCTTCTGCTACCGAGGAGGAGTCGCGGGGGAAGAGGAGTACCGGTATTGCGTTTGGCCGCTATCCCTATCCTCTGCGACTCGGCGGGGCTGCACCGCTGATGCATTGATGGTGGGGCCGCAGGGGGGAGAGGAGTGTCGGTATTGCGATGCGTCGTTCCTCCTACCCTCCGCGGCTGAAACGTAGTGAGCGGCGGAGCCACAGATCAGGTCCGCCGCTGGGGGCTGGGAGGCTTGCTGCTTATTAGCACAGGCTCTCCTGGCTCCCATGGCACCGGTCAGCGAACTCGGGGGAGTTCGTTGGCCATGAAAATGGGGCCGAGTAGGAAAGTGCGCTGAATGTTCAAACACGCCTTATTTGGAGGACAAGGGAGTTGCTCCCCGGGAGGGGTCTGCTTAGGCGGCCAGTGCTGGTAGAGTCGCAGAAGTGTGCGAAAGTGTTCCCGTGACCCTGCCGATATGCGTCTAGTTGGAACATCGGTTTGTTGAAACCCCCACGGTTTTAGTCGGTGCGATTCCGACATAACCCGCTCTTGCCCCCGCGAGGGTGGGTATGCGTAGGCATTTCCCCCACGTAAACAAAAAAAAAAGGATAATGTTGAGGATTAAACTTTCTTCTTACTCCTGCCAGTCCACCTAGGTTGGGTAGGCACATGTGAATCATTTTGTAATCTAGACATTTACAAATTTTACAAAGGTTACTTCTGCCTAGGTCTATCATGGTTCCCCTGGTGTTAAGTGGTTAACACCGCTCGTGGATGCATGCGACATTTTGTGTGCCCGGTTAACTTACTCACCAGGCGAAAGGCAAAAGTATAATAATTCCATATAACACACGATTTCTGGGAAGTCATGGTACTTCCCCGGGTGGGCCTTAATTTCCAATGTAAATAAAATAGGAAATGCCTACTCATACTCAGCTCCGCTTGGTTAGAGAGTATACGGAGAGTCACAAAATGCAACACCATCACTCTTCTTTCCCCACGACTTCATCGTTTGTTTGGTTGCAGAAACCAGGGAGAGTGGCTAGACCGCTACAACCTTCGACCTGTCCCCTGCACCCTCCGCACGCATTTAAAGTGGGCACGGCCCATACGGAGCGCCTCTCTCGCACTGGCCTCACACACAAGCCGGCTTAATATGGATTCTTATTGGCTACACCGTGAGCCAAACCACGGCTTCTAAGCCCATCCGCAACGACTTGGCGGAAACCCACCTAGTCGTGACGTAACCTAACCATTTGCGCAAGTAATAATACAGTGAAATATATCATCATCATCATCATTTCAGCCTGTTAGAGTCCACTACTGCACATAGGCCTCCCCCATAGACTGCCACGAAGTACGTCATTCCTGAGCCACCTGCATCCATCGACTTCCCGCATATTTGCACAGGTCGTCATTCCATGTAGTGGGGGGCGTCTTACACTGCGATGGCCATTACGACGCTGCCACTCGAGAACCTTTCTTCCCCAACGGTTATTGGTAATAGGAGCTATATGGTCGGCCCATCGCCAGTTCGGCTTGCTAATCATCTGAGCTATGTCGGTTACCTTATATAAGATACTAAATTTCATGAAGAAAAAAATGCGATTAAACTTCTCCAGGGGATAAAACATGAATACATCAATGTATTTTTTAATATAAGAAATGGAAGATTATAATGCGCTAAGATCATGTTGCACTTCAGACAATCTAATTTGATTTTTGAGTAGATGTTATAACAATGGCTAAACGCGAAAAGTATCAGTAGATCTAATCTAAAATCACGACGGAACATTTTAGTCCACAGAGGAACCAAAGTTCATGTAGGGTTTCAACGAGGTCAAATATTCAAATCTCATTCGTCAAAACGACTTTGATCCTATTAATCCTTTATAGGTTTATATTCTTTATGGGATATTTCAAAATAATAGAAAGTCGAGATACCTCACATATTTCTCGCGTGTGCAAAAAATTTTCATCAAAAGTGCACATACTAGAATGCTACTAAAGTACCATGGACAACATCGAAATGTAATCGCGCGCTCGGAATAAAGTCGTAAACATACGGTGAAATTTAGTGTTTGTTATTATAATGAAATCAAAGTGACTTAACAAATTGTTGTAATTTCAAGTGATTATTTGAAAGTGCTCGACGATGAAGAAAACACCGGCCATGTGCGAGTCGGACTCGCGTACTAAGGATTCCGTACCATTATCTATAAAAATGGCAAAAAATATCATGTCTGTTGTATGGGAGCCCCAATTAAATATTTTTTTCCCGTTTTGTAGTATTTGTTGTTATAGCGGCAACATAAAAACATCATCTGTGAAAATTTCAATCGTATAACTATAATGGTTCATGACATACAGCCTGGTGACAGACGGAAAGACAGGCAGACAGACAGACAGCGAAATCTTAGTAATAGGGTCCCCTTTCACTCTTTGGGTACAGAACCCTAAAAATTGAGAAGAAACGTGCACAACGAAGAAATATTAAATATATATAATTAGACAACCCACCAAAAAGGAGGTTTGCTCAACAGTGGGGAACGTATATATATCTACTGAATTAGGTTTAAATATGTTCATGAGTATTTATTCGATATAAAGGAGTTTCTTTAATCTGAACTCTAAAGGAAAATTAAAATTTTTACTAAACGATTTTTTTTGCTTTAGTAACGGTCAAAGGAAGGAAACAAGGTTTTGATTTTAATGACGTTATATTTTGAATCAATAAGTTACTCACATAACATACTTTTTACATTTTACAATCTGTGATAATCAATTTACAAATATTTATCACTTCTTTGTTTCTATAAATATAAATAAAACTTAATTATTTTGTACCTAACATACCGTTCCAAACAACGGATATGTGCAAAATTAATATATCGATGAAATTATAATCGTGCATCTCTGTAGAGAATATTTAATGCAATGAAAAAAAAACTAATACAACTACTAAACAATAATTATAAAAAAGGAAAACAACATCGAAAAATGATACAATCATTTAATTAAGTGCGGGAAAGAGATCACAATAGTTTTGCTTTTTGGGCATTTTAAGTCTTTCTTAAAAATAAATAATTTCGTTTGAATGTTAAGAGGATTGAATATTTATCTGATTTGTAAAACCATACAAGTAAAAAAGACAAGTAAAAACATGGGAAATAATATCAAGCCAATGCTAAAATGTGGATTAAATTCCTAAATACATCTTGTTATTATTAAATAAAAGGAAATACGATTAGTTGACGTGTATTTGTGCTTAATATAGTAATTTAACTCTATCCTCATCCTTATCTTAGTTTCAAAATAAAATTTAATATCTTAACAAAAAATATGAAGGTGCTCCTAGATATTTCTAGTACTATAATATCTATACGTAACATATTATAATATTACTTAAGTTTTATGTACACAAATGTTAGGCTTAGTTACGATAATGATTTTGGTCGATAAAGGAATTGTTTGTCGGATTATGTGGAATAAATACGTCCAAGGCGCGAATAAAATGACAAGTAATCAGGTGTGTAAATATATTTTATAAATTACATGAAATTTTTAAGTTACCTGTCGATATAAAGTAAATTTGATAACAACAGATTTCAGTTTCAACGCTTGTCAACTTATTTACGCCTTGTATAGAAATGATTTAAAGGGTCAAAATAATAATTACATATCTTGATTTATAACGGCATTGTTTAATCATATGCGTTCAGCTAAATAATGTAGAATTCAAACGGATTAATTTATATATATATGTACATATATATATATATATAGATATATTCGTTATAATGTATGGAGATTTTACTTAAAATATAAACTTATAAAGAAATGATAATTTAAACCCTTTTTTTAACATCACGCGAGTTTTGACTTGATCTTTTCTTAAGATGGCGCCTCATATTTTATGGAATCAGTCGTCATTTACTTAAAACGTGTTACATATACATTATATTTAATATTCATCAGTTAATAATGTGAAATAGTTTGCACGTGTTAAATTGCACCGTAAGTAACGTGGTCGCGCCTTCCAGTAAAATGCCAATAAACCGCCTCCGCCATATTGTTTTCGCTAATTGGCCGCCTTATCGCTGGTCGCGCATTTTGCATCCATTAATTACTTACTTATTTTACGACGTAAGATTGTATTTCTGTGCAGAATAATACCTAATTGTATTTCTGTGGTCATATTTATTTTAATTTTTTATTCGAAATATTTTTAAATAAGAATTTTCCAGATATTTCAAACCATTATGAATATTGTGCATTTGTGGAAAAACACTATGATACTATGAATAACTGAACTTACTTCTTTAAAGTCCAAAAATGAATAATTTTTATGACATGAAAGAAAAATGAGTATGTAAATAAATAAATATGTCGATTCTGTTATGTTTATCAAAGCCATGTGATGTCTATTACGCGATATTTCAAATGTAAAACAACTTTGATATATATGGAGAAATCTGGTGATCAAGAGTCATCAATGAATGGTAGGCAATATTAAGATTATGACATTAAAAATCATATTCGGTCGCAAGTCTTAGCTCTTATTGTTTCCTTTTTGGAATTTTCTTGACAATTAATATGTACCAATTTGTAAAATGCAAACTTAGTGGAAAGACATTTTTTACACTACATATTACTTACATTTTTTCAGAACTAGATACTTTTATCAATTGGATATTAAAAAGCAACTGAGAGTTTTCTATTTCATAATTGTATTTTCTAACATATCAGAATAATATTTTTCATAAAATAAATACTTAGCCGATTGATTTGGTTACACTATAACAATAAAATCTAAAATTTATAAAGAAAATAAATTAGTGAAGATCAACAAGTAAGATAAAAAATATTGCCCCCGAAACGGTAAAATAAAAACTAAATTTCATTAACATTGAAGACGGAAATAAATACGATGTGTTACGCTATTTACACTAAAATCTATATATTACAAAATACCTACGTCTAGTATTCACACTGGATATGTTAACTGGTACCTATTAGTCTTTATTACCGAAGCACTAGTGATAATAATATTTAAAGCAAAGGAACATTCCGTCAAAATGCCTGTACCTATAGTAACGTTGAGTTAGATCGTGGAGCCTCTTCTGTAGCCGTGTCTAGTCCTGAACGCGTCACTTTCACGTGTTTAGTAGGGACTCTATGCTGAACGGGTTGTGCTTCCTCGGCCCGCCGTTCCTCGCGAGCTGCTCGGTCGGGGTGCCTGCGCCGCTCAGGTCGAGGGAGACGGCCCTGCCCGAGTCGAAGTCGAACTTCTCGAAGCTTCCGCCCGCGAACTGCTTGAAGAACGAGGGCTGCTGCTCGGGCACCGGGCTGTAGTGCCTCCCGGAGTGCGCGTCCGACGTTGAGCTGTCGGAGTTGTTGACCGCGTCGCCCCCCGAGGGGGCGCGCAGTCTTCCCGACAGCGAGAAGTCTTCGGGACCGGAGTCGTGGCACGAGTCGCCCCCGACCACGTCGATCATGCTGTCCTCGCCTTCCCCGTCGCCGTCTGACTCCGAGTACAGGCCGCTGTTCCTATGCTGGGCCAGGTATTCTGCTTTCAGTGCCTCCAAGTCTACAGCGATGCCCTTCGCGCGCAGCTTCCTCGCCTGCCTCTCCAACGCTTTGGCCAGCTTCTTTCTTCTTCGCGCCCTGGTAATAAAATAGGGCCTAATGAGTATAGAATCTAATTGTGATTCCGTGTAGAGCACGGCTATGTCGCGATCGATTGTTCCATCTTTATTTTAGGTTTAATCTATATATATTGATTATTTTATTTATAGTTTCCTCTAAATACATTATAGCCTCCAAAATAAAGATTTTAACGATTACAATAAATATGTATAAATATTGTTGCCGTTGTTTAGTTGGGTAACTGCCATTTCGCGCTGTGTTGGTCAGAACAAGATTTGATCAAAATTTTATGTGTTCATTGTAAATTGTGTGTTCGTGATTATACATACTTGTGACACTTCCCGCGACACAGGACTAATTACACAGTACGAAAGTCATTTAAAAAGAATAAGTTGTCGTTTTCAAAACAAAAGGCGCTTTCTTAGTAATATAAAAAATTATATTAAGCTCTAAATAAACATTAAGCTCATCCAAAGCCTCGTCGCAAACTCAGATGTTTATAACTTTTATCTGTACTGGGAACATTTATCTGTAGATATGTTTGAAAATTAGGGTGGGATCTGCGTGTAAGTGGTCACCTCTCGCGAGCCCTGAGCTCGTGCGGCGGAATGGGCTCCCCCGAGCAGGACTGCGGGTGGGCGTTGTGCGCCGGTCGCCCTGGGCCCTTCTTCGTGTGCTCCTTCTTGCGCCACTTCGCGCGCCGGTTCTGGAACCAGACCTGTGGGGGGAAGCGAAGATTAACCTCGTATTTTTTTTTTATGTGAGAAAGAGGCAAAGAGCTGGCGGTTCACCTGACGTTAAGTGATAAGACGTCCGCCATGTACATCCGCGACATTATCAACCAACCCACGCTTGAGCTGCGAGGTCAAGCGATTAACAACCAGAGCACCATCAGGTACCTTTGGTGCCGGCTAAACCGCTCGTTGCGTATGGCTCCCCAGGTCGACCACTGTGTCCGACAAGCCAGGTCAGCTCGAGCCATGCTTTATCCCATTCTGGCATACAAGCTACCTACCAAGACCAAGCTCGGCGTCTATAAGACGTACGTTCGCTCGCTTCTCCTAGGTTAGCTCGCGTTCCTCGCGCTTGACCTACGCCGCTCCCGCCCCCACGAGAGATACTGCCGTCGGAGGCCATTGGGGGGCCGGACCCGACGGCACTTCCGCCGTTGAGAAGACCATGTCGTCCTCGCGTTACACACCGCGTTTAACGCTGTACACCCGCCAGTGCCACTACCGCGGAGAGAGTATGCGATAGCCGTTGGCCATCTTCACCGCCGACCAGCCATTGCTAGTCGAGATTACGTCCGAGGTTATTCCGACCCTCGTAATAAAAGCAGGCCTCGCGTCAGCTTACGTACATCTCCCTAAGTAATAACTGCCGCCCACGGACATTTGCAACACCCGTTGCAGATGTGTTGCCACCTTTTAATAATGTGGGCCCCGGCTACCTCACTCACCAGACGAACCGCGGAAGTGTAACTCTTCTACTTTTTTGCCGGTTTTCTGTAAGGTCGTGGTATTAACCCACGTGACGTTGACCCACGTGGTATTAAACACGTGGTTGTGTGGTCCTACCACAGTTGTTACCAACAGTGTATAATATAAGGTTAAGGCTATTCGAGAGCCGTGATAGCTTAGTGTACGGGCGCTCACTTTTAATCCAAGGCGAAAGTTTGTATATATGGATGGATGTTTGGTACTCTTTCACGCAAAAACTACTGAATGGATTTTAATGAAACTTTACAATAATAAAGCTTACACATCAGAATAAGACATAGGCTATAATTTATATACATATTTTATGTATATCTGTCTTTCTATCTGAATGTTACGAGCCTATTCTACGCAGACGTAGTGACAGTCTGTTTACTCGATGAAATATCCCATATAGGCGCAATATAATATAAGCGCATAATAAGCGTATAGAATCGTTCATTGCCACAGACTATTAAAGACTGGCAATAATGATGAGCAGTGCGGGAACTATTGAATTAAAAGCCATTAAAACCGATTGAGACATCTACGGCAACAGCCTGTGTTCACTGGCGTCGCTTTTCGCGAGACAGTGGACTCTATAAATTTGCACGCCGCCGCATCCAGTGTGCAAATGGGCGCGGACCGGGCCGTAAAACTTCATAGCTCCGACGCTAATGCGACGAGATCTTGTGCGGGCATGCGACGTCTTTGACGCGCCCCCTGCCGACCGATGAAGACGCCTCTTTACGAGCGGACGTCTCAAGTTAAGACGTTATCAGACGGTTAATTTTTCGTTCATTCCGAATGGGAGTGAATGACGCCAAATGCCACTAGTGATCGTTCGTAACATCGTTGGATCGGTTCATGAGTGAATTCATTCAGCGCTGAAATCAGTTTATGTGTTCAGATGTTTCATTTCGAGCGATGGGTGCTGAATGAAAGGAGGAAATGAACAAGAAATTAATCGTCTGCACCATTAGCGCGAGCTACGACAATTCGACGTTATGTAATACAACATGGCTGATTGATCACAGTCAAGACCGGTGATCGAGGCTCAGTGAAACGTTAGGGCAGAGGGTTGAGCCGAGATTCGAAAGGAATAAGAACCATCTAAGAAAGACGTGTGACTTCTTACTGCGCTAGGGCTCATCCGAAAAACTACCACGGTTTTACAAAAAACCGGCGTGAAGTGGTCACGTGTCACTTAACATCAGACGAACCATCAGCTCACTTTCTGCCTTGCCCCAAAAAACAGCAGTCCTGTTCTTGAAAGATATTCTTCATTTGTGTTAAACGTGAAGTTCCTCCGATTCGGTAATAGATAATCAATGACATACACAAATAAGAGGTCGATTTGGCACTAGTGCACCAAAACTGAGGCACTCAAATTACGCCAATTGGTATAATTAGATTGCAATTCTATAAACTACTTGCTATCTCTTTCCGCATTTTACCTTTTATGTCATAGATAATATAATCATCGATCATCTGTATCATCATAATTATATATGTCGTATACATTATACGACATATATAATTATGATGATATAAGCGGAACATATTTTTAAACGCCGTGCAGTATTGACACGCGTCATTTATATTATTACATCATTGTAGGTATAAACTATAATGAAATATCCTTTTGTATTATTAGTTTGCATCTCACCGTTCAATAAATTTCGATTTCTGCTCTGTGCGGGCTTAAAAAACAAAAACAGCGCCTGCTGACGCTTCAGGGAACATATGCGCGACATTATTTTACGAGCGACCAATCGTGTTTTACGGCGAAGGATACGTTTAACGACACCCCAGCTCCTGGATTAATTCGGATTAATTTAATAAATTTTTATTTTAACGTCCCGTCTTAATGTCGGCATTTTTTAATGGGACGAACACAATTACGCCGATAGTCTTCACGCGGCATATGTTGGCCGAACCTTTATAGTGATGTTAACAATAGTATATAGAAAATTGTTTCGAAATTTAAAATAAAACCGTTTAAAAACTTTTAAGTTTTATTTTCTGTTTTTTTTTTTTGTGCACGGAAAGCTACAATATTGTATTGTCATCTAAATTAAATGTGTGTACCAAATTTCAGATCAATCTGACAACGGGAAGGTGCTTAAATTTCATTTTCTAATTTTGACCCAAATAAACAAATAAATTCCGTACGTGTCGAGCTAAATAAAACCGTTTAGTAAGTTAAGCATGTCGGTCGTATAAGCTTAGTTGTTTTTTCAATAAGATAATAAGTACCCATCTCTTGTGCAGAGTACTGTTGTTGAGTAGAACTTCTAAACGTTTATCTTTATTGGTGGTGTAGCTCAAAAGAATAAATTGAGTCACAGGCCATGTTTTTAATTAAGTGTCAGCCCAAACAACTGCCGATCCCGACAAATCAAAGTAGCCGTAGGAAATTTTAATGATACACAGCATATCTACATCCCGTCAGATGTTTTAGGTGTCTACGGCCGATGGTAATCACTTACCATCAGTCAACCGCCTGCTCGTTTGCCAAATTTTGAAATAAAAACATACTCCGTGGGACTATCGCAATAAATTTTGTTGCTCAACCTATCAGAGTGTGCTGTACGGACCATCCGTACGGTCACACTTCTGTTATATCGACATGCTAAAATTACCCAACGTCGTAACGTCGTAGTTTCACTCTACACGAACAATAGAATTCGTTTCAAATCGTCAATGGTAAATGATTACAATTCTATTTCGTGCCATTAATCATGTTGAGAAATCGATTCGTACGCGGTTAATTTCTGATTAAATTAATGAAAGTGTTTGCGTAATTAACATACACAAGGGGAAATATTTTAATTGACGTTCGCTTCATGTAGTGCTTTTGTTTGTTTGCGATCGATTGTGAAATCTCGATTCATTTCATGACTAATTCAAGATTTTTTATAAAGCAAATAAATTAATTTCTGCCCAAGGTCTAAAGAAATTGCATCTCAATTTGGTCAAAACATTTTGTTAAATTAGACCGGTCTCAGATAAATTTTGTCGAAAACTGAAGACTCGTAGAGATCTGACAGTCGAGATTTTAGAGTCGGTTTTTAAAATTAATTTTACATTAATTAGGTACATATTTCTTTTTGAAAAGCATAAGCGTAAAAACTTCGTTATGTTTTAAACAGTTTGCTTTCTTTTCTATTTCTTACAACAGACAGAAGCAGATGAATCGACGGTTATCTTTCAAGTGGGAAGTTTATTCGTCGAAAACCGTGGTGTAGGAGACTAAATGATACATATTAATAAATTTGATGAAGACACTAAATTATTAAGGTCACTCCATAGAATATGGGTCGCAATAATTTTCACTCCACCTTTAATATAATATGATTCATTGAAATATTTTTAAATACATAAAAGACAAATGTTTATATGACAAAAGTAATCTTAAATCATTTGTAAACTGAACTGAACATAGGCCTCCCGCACAGACTGCTACGAAGCACGATTCTAAGCCAGACTATATACCAGCATCTACAGAACTTCCCGCACATTTGTACAGGTAGTAATTCCATCTAGTGGGGTGTCGTCCTGCACTGCGATGGCCAGTACGTGCCACGTTGTAAACTAGTGGCTGTCACTCAAGAACCTTTCTAGGTAAGGTGTAATATAAAAAAGATATTTTACAGAATGTCGAATCTTAGTAATAATTTTTCTTAGTGATGCTCAAGGAACTTTTTTTTGTATAAAAATATCCAAAATACCTAGAAACCGAACATAAGGGGCAAGAGCGTATTAGCTTTTTAATCAAACCCTCCCTTCGCTAATCGAAATACATTGATTGCGGAATAGAAACGCAACGGTCGCTTGTAATGGCCATCGGTGGGTTGTTCCCTCTTTTAATGAGCCACGTATAACCACCCCCTATTCCCAACCCCCTCTGACGGGTCATTAATACCCGACTCTCGGGGGATGATACTATGCTCTTGTCGGCTTTTCAAGTTTGAGGAAACTAATGAATCTTGACGTCGATCTGTATCCAGAGATATAAATGCGGTTATTAAAGATACGAAAAAGATTATTTAGTTGTTTTTCGGCGATGGTCTATCTATATTATTAACGTTCCCATAGTTCCCTGACTGAACACACATATAAATTTACAATTCGGTGTGACGTGTATTTATGATATGTATTCATAAGAGACTGAATTGATAATTTTAGTTCCATCTTTCGCTTCGGCCACGATTTGTATAAGTAAACCAGAGGACCGGAC